TTGATCTGCCTCATTAAACATGTTTTGGAAAGAACATACAATATTTCATGGATTTCCGTGGAATGGATTCTTTAGGGAGAGAAAAAGAGAGTCCATTAAGGTGCGGGCCTGGAAATGCTCTATTACAATTTTTATATCAACATTTTTGAACGTATTAAACAATTAAGAAAATATATTTTCAAGGTTTTCCTCTGCAAGTTAAAATCAATTACATTGCTTTATTGTCCAATCTTTCTTAGCGTATATCTTGAAAATAAAATAAAACCATACTTATGTTTTTCTTGTGTCCGATGAATGAGGAAACGGATAGTACTGGTAAAACTCATCTTACAAGACTGGCGTCTTTCACATCCTTAAAACATTTCGTTTTCTATAGTTGAGCGTTGACTTGATTGCGAGGCCGAGGAATGCGCTCGGTGTTCTTGGAATCTGCCCCCCCCCGCCCCTGCTAGTTCCCAACTATAGAGCGATTTTTATAAGAATGAACAGTTTTGATAGCTAGTGCTGGCAACACAACTGAAGGTTCTGTGGTCGTTGTGTCCTTCAGCTCATTTGACTCTCTTTCCTTCTTTCGTTCGTTCGTTTACAGTTGGCTAACGTGTAAATAGCTTCGAGGTTTACTTTTGTGATGTCCTCGTACGACGAAATTATAGTGCGTCACGAGACCTTTTTAAGACATATTGCCACTTACGTAATCAAATTTCAATATTTTCCGGACTCGCGTACGTGCATATACCTCAGCGAGACTCTTAGATTTCTGTATGTCTTCACGGGGACCGTAAACAAACACTTTACGGAGAGACTTGGGTGAACAGGTGCCGCTGCGGAGGAATACTTCTCTGAATTACACGTGATGTTCACTTGATGTCTCTTTGGCTCATTCTTATAAAAAATTGCTCTATATTAGCTATCTAAGTATATTGCTCCCAAGGCAAAATGGGCAAAAATTAAAGCGGCAAACGATAATAAGTAAAATAAATAAGTCATAGACACCCCGCTCCCCGCAGTAAAGCTCCTGTCTTTACATTATTTTGCAGTATTTCCGATATCTGATGTCGACAAATATTATTTTGTCACATACCTACGAGTATTTCGTTAAACATTCTGCTACATACGTTTCGTATTTTGTCTTTCCCGGGAGTTGCACCGTTCGCTTTCTCTGGGGTACAAACGAACGCTAATTGTCCAAGAAAACAGCATCATTCGCACTCGGAAGGCACGCGCGTCGCGTTTGGACTGTTTCGCATCGGACGAAGCCATCAAAAGAATAATTAGCAACTTTCTCGGCGGTTTCCGCGCGGCGGCCTTCGCGCAGTCTTTTGTTCCAGGTGGCGACGGCGCGGTCGCCGGCGCGTGCAAGGGCGTCATTTAAAAATTTTCCAGGGCGTTTCCCGAGTGCCCGGTCCTGCCGCGCCC